AAACACGAACCAAACGTTACTCCCCACAGATGTACTTACTAGATCTCCAGTTCAAAACAAACATTCATATTAAAGATACAAACATGAACCAAACGTTACTCCCCACAGATGTACTTACTAGATCTCCAGTTCAAAACAACCATTCATAATGAATATAAAAACACGAACCAAACTTTACTCCCCACAGATGTACTTACTAGATCTCCAGTTCAAAACAACCATTCATAATGAATATAAAAACACGAACCAAACGTTACTCCCCACAGATGTACTTACTAGATCTCCAGTTCAAAACAACCATTCATAATGAAGATACAAACGTTACTCACTAGAGACGTATTATCATGTTAGTTGAACAAGGTTTCTGAACAAACAGAAAAACTCACCACAACCGTATTCATCTGCTCCGACTCTTCCAAACTGACAGTCGTTTGACCCATCGCATATATTTTCAGCTCTAATACAACGATTGGTGTGAGCGCAAAGTATTGTTGCTTGCGACGTGCACAGGGCGACACCTGCAAAATAAACAACAAATAAGTTAATTTTCATGCTAAACTTTGTGCATCATTACATAATTATTTCGTATATCCCTACATACTTATCTCTTATTTCAGTATTTTTAATTCAAGGTTATTATTGTAAGATACACGAAATAAACATGGTAACCTGTCGTAATGTTCAACACTAATCTCAGTAATCATACTTTGAGCAAAGAAAGGTAAAGTACAAAATAAGTTGACAAACGAGTAGACAGTTTAAAAAGTGCAAACGTTTTATCATCAAGTCCACGTTAATTTCTTATTTTTCTACCAAAAAAAAGTATTTCATTAATCAAGCATGCTGTACATTAGTATGATGTCGTCATTCTGGGCGTCGTTGTGTCGTTAAAGTTATAAAATATTCTAGTTCTCATCGGTTCCCTTCAAAACTCGCATTCAACATCCTCAATGTGCTTTAAAACTTGATCAATTCACATCTGGATCCATTCGAATCTGATGTTATTATATGCTGTCAATTAATTTATATCTGGATCCAGTCGAATCTGATGTTATTATAAGCTGTGAATCAATTCATATCTGGATCCAGTCGAATCTGATGTTATTATATGCTGTGAATCAATTTATATCTGGATCCAGTCGAATCTGATGTTATTATATTCCAGATATGAATTGATTCACAGCACAGCATATAATAACATCAGATTCGACAGGATCCAGATATGAATTGATTCACAGCATATAATAACATCAGATTCGACTGGAGAATCAATTCATATCTGCATCCAGTCGAATCTGATGTTATTATATGCTGTGAATCAATTTATATCTGGATCCAGTCGAATCTGATGTTCTTATATGCTGTGACCAAACGTATTAAGGAAATCTGGAATATTCAGAGCTTATTTACTGGAATTATTTTCACTTGAACTGTACCTAGTACACGCACGAGCTAAGCGGCCATGTTAAAGACATGTAGGTCTGAAATATAGACGACATTAATTTTGTACAACAAACGAGAGGTTCGTGGCTAGTTAGCTGCATCCGCCTCAAAAAGTGCTTTCTAAACGCGCTCGGAACTAAAAGTGCGGAACGTTTTCATCAGCGTCCTGTATCGAATTTTGGATCCTACGTTCCGCAGCCCGGTACGCTAATCACTGTGATATTAAGACACATAGTAGTCCCTTCAGAACTACTCGGAGTACACCTGCTCGATTTTTTTTTTTTTACATTTTATATTAGATCGTTACGTGGAAAATAGGTTTCATTGGGTTCTTACAAAAGTGCCCAAGTCTAAGTAACTGAATTTTTGTTTGTCATTACTGTTTACTTATAAGAACCTTATTTATGTAGTTATTTATTTCTATAATTGTTATTCAATTATTACGTGTTTTTTTAAACATTTTGCGCAATTAAATTTATTTTTACTTAGAAAACGGTCGCCTGGTGGGACAGCAATAAGTCTTCAGGCTTACAACGCCAAAATCAGAGGCTCGATTCCCCTCGGTTGACACAGCAGATAACCCAATGTGGCTTGGCTAACTATAAAAAAACACACACACACACTTGGAAAACGTTGCACGTGGACTGCACCGCCCTCTTTCGGTAACCAATGGATTCATGGAAATTTCTGACACTATACTTTGTGCAATTTTCTTTTATTCATGACTTTTTAAAAAAATAAATACCACTAAATATTAGTAACGACAGCTCACCATTTAATACTGTGTAAAAGCTTTCACAGTTCTTCTCATCGTCACAAGCGTCGCCACAATCGCACACTGTATCACAAACGTTGGCTGTACGAATACATCGGGTATTTTGGCACTGGAATTCACTTGGCAAACAATTTCTACCTGCAATAAAAACATGTTAAGTGTTATAGTTGTACTTTTAGTGTAATAGTTCAATTTCATTTTTAATCTAGGATAAAACGAATTTTCAGATAAAAAAAATCAACAGGGAAAAACAGCGAAATTATCTTTTTGTCTCATAACTAAATATCCATTTAATTTAGCACATGACCACATCTTTTGATGTAAAGAGAGCTCACTTTCTGTCAGATTGTTTAAAATATATATATTTTGGTTATCGAGATGTAGTTTACAAGGTTTCAACACGAATACACATATTTATGAAACGGTTTGTTTGTTCTGAATTTCGCGCAAAGCTACACGAGGGCAATCTGCGTTAACTGTCCCTAATTTAGCAGTGTAAGATTAGAGGGAAGGCAGCTAGTCATCACCACCCACCGCCAACTCTTGGGCTACTCTTTTACCAACGAATAGTGGGATTGACCGTCACATTATAACGCCCCCACGGCTGAAAGGGCGAGCATGTTTGGTGTGACTGGGATTCGAACCCGCGCCCCTCAGATTGCGAGTCGAGCGCACTAACCACTTGGCCACACATTACCTGAATGAAAACAGACTTGCCAACGTGCTATTTTTAATATCTACTACAATTATGATAATAACACATGAAAAATTGTAAGTGAAATGTTTCCCTTCTACCTTTCTCTCTCTCTTTGTTTTTAAGTTATCTATACAAACTCAGGGAGAGAAAACTCAGTTTTACTTGAAACGTTTATGGTGAT